CAAAATCTCCCTATCTTTTAAAGGTTAAGATAAATTCTTTTTAACTTTTTGAAGCTAAGGTATAACCTTCATATTTTTTTAAGACTAAGATAGAACCTCTCTACCTTTTCAAGGCTAAGGTAGAACCTTTCTATATTTCAAGGTGGAAAGAAAGAATACCTTTAATAGGTGGATATTGCTTAATGAATTCAAATTTGAAAGATATAATAGTAATAAGATGAATACAAAGAATATGAGTTAAAGCTCTAATGAAATTTTGATCACTTGAATGCTTGGCAGAAACATATAAATGCTTGGTTTTTCCTTTTTTTTCTCTTTCTCTTCCTCATAAATCTCTTTACTTGCTCATATGACTTTTTCCTTCTCTCTTCTTACTTCATAAATAAGCCAAGGATTACCTCTTTTTATACATAAAAAGGGTATTGGAGAAGTTGGGGGTCATTAAGATGAAAAGAGACATTGCTTGGTTAGAGAACATGTTTAACGGCTATATGAGATCGATCCCTTCCTAATGGGATTGATCTTTTGTTACAAAATTCAAACTCATGTGAGTGGTGGATTGATCTCTCTCATTGAATAGGGTCAATCTGTTGGGTTCGGCTATAGATGGCATACTCAAAATTACGTAATGGAAAGAAAATTAAAAACTTTAAAAACAAAACATATCTCTACCCATGAATTACAATGGTGACATTTCAACACATAGAATGACATATAAAATCATAAAATTAGATGCTAACATTACCAACATTCTTTCGATCGAAATAGCAATCTTCTCAATGCAACCCACGAACACTACAAGAAGTAAGAACCGTAGCCAATCAAGCTCTTGGCCTGTAACAATAGTACACATGATTTCACTTGAACTTTCCAACAAAGGAGGGAGATTTTAACTATGCTTTTGTGCTAATAAAAGGGGACAACATTTGTCCCTTTCGACTTCTCACAAGGATGGCCGAATCACACACTTAAAAAATTGCTTCAAAACAATTTTTGTTCTTTACAAAGTAAGTGACAGCACACAATGAGAAAACCATTTTTTTTAACAACTCTTTTTCTTCATATATGGAAAAATAGTTAAATGTGATTTATATAGCTAGGTTAATTAACTTTAATTTTGCAATAAGGCCTTCCAAATTATAACACATTATAATATAGGCCCATAACTTAATTAAACTATTTTAATTAAACCAAATGAAAATTAAATTGAAATAATTTCCTTTATATTATTGTAATTTTTGCATTATAATTATAACTATTTATACATTATACCCAAAACTTAATTAAACTCTTTTTAATTAAGTTTATAAAAGTTAATTACCTAGCATGTGATTTAAGTTTAACTTAAATCATCACTTTTCAAATTTAAATTAAATGCAATCATTGTGTGTGACCTATTAGATTTTTAATATGTTGGCAATGGAATTGATTAATGACTTAATTGATTAATATAAACTTCAATCAATTAATTTATAATTAATTACATAGGCCAAGATTGGCATCTAACAATGCATCATGGCCACCTTATTGTTAAAAGAGTCAAAGGGTTCTTTGACAACCTTTCAGTGTACAGTTTATCAGTATAATTCATTTTCTCATCATATATCCTAGAGATGATAAAAGCTTGATACAGTGTCTACTCTTATTGACCTCCATATCTGTTCATGTAGTTATAGCATTGACTTTATAAAGACTTATAAAACCTTTTTCATAATCTCTAAGTTGCCTTAACCAAGGACTTCAATAAGCTAATAATAACTAAGAATTGATAGCATACGTCCTCTAAAACACTTTAGCTAATGATTCTTATCTTAACGACTTATTTGCCTTCACATGCTTCATACTATACCCAAAAGCATCTTGTTTAGGTGTCATTGGTTAAGCACCCGTAAGAATGAAATTAAAGTATAACACTCCACATATAAGACAACCTGATATCTCAAGTTTAGGGAGTATTTAAATGATTGACACATGAGAAGGGGTGCATAAACATTGGAGTGTATTACAAAATGCACTTCTTATTATGGGTCATGTTTAGTGAGCTTATTTTTAAAGACAAGCACCTACATTCTTCTTCCAAGTATCTCTATATTTCAATCTATGAGATCAATTATTTACTTCCAAAGTATGAAATATAGAATATACCAATCTCTACGCATCATGGATGTTCAGTCTCAATGATACATTAGCCAGGAAGGTTTTGAGATTATGCTTTGATGCATAGGGATCTTATAATTACAGCCCATTACATTCCTTTACAAGGCATATTAATCTCATAGACTTTATCTAATTAGACTTATAACTCAATATAATTAATGTCTTGTTGATGAAAAAAAAACATCTAACCATTCAATATGAATAATATTGTTGCATGATTGCAACTAAGCTTTGACCAATCTTAATTGGTTGTCGAGCTCATCCCAACACAATCCCTAGCAAACAACAAGGGATCAAATAAGTTTTATTTGAAATGGATTGATCCCTCAAACCCTAGGATTGATCCTTGTAACTTTCTTCTTGAAAAATATTTCATCTTGTGCTTCTTATCATGACTCAATAAAAATATTTTAAGAATATTCTGTGTGAAATGGAATTGACTTAAGAATATTTTAAGAGTCTTGATTACATGGTTTTGATTGTCCAAATAAAACTAGGCCAGAAGTTGTTTCAAGCACCATATTTGTTTCCTTGTAATTAGTTTTCCAAAAAAAAAAGAAAAATGTTGTAAGCCATGTGGCCTTGGACTAAAGGTGAGCAAATGGGTGGATTGAGTGGTTTGGTCCACTATACTAAAAACCGAATTGACCAATTATTTTTAGAAAACCGACCAAAACCAACCAAATATAAAAGCAAACCATACCGACCAAACATAGAATTGGTTTGATTGATTCGAGTTTGAACCAATGGACTAAAATTTTACCATCTTTTTTTCACAAATTATTATATTAAAATTTATAAACTTCATCCGCAAGTATATATGTATATATATATATGAAATTAAGGATATAACTTATATGTTATAACAATTTATATCAAAGTTTGTATAAATAATAACTAATTATAAGCAATATGTTATAAAA